TAACATCCCCACATGAGAGTAGGAACACCATAAACACACTCCCACACATGCTTTGTATTTTACTTTAATGGTTGTGTGTTTTTATTTCCTGCTCTTATCTACATAGCCCATAGGCTTTCCCTCTTCTGCAGGTGGTACTGGGAGGGAGCTGTAGGGACCTTCACTGACTAGACGTGCTGCATGGTAGTCAAAAGAGGTAACACACCTCCTGTGTTTATAATGATCAGAATCTCCCTTTGATGGCTGATCCAGCTTCAAGGAAATATTTTTAAGTAATAGTCATATAATTCAGGTTTATTGCGATGTGGCTCACACTTATGAAACATACACTGAATGTCACAGGAACCATAATAGAAAAATTTCATGCATCACCTCATTCAATTCAGTCTTACAATGTAGGGAATACTTACCCCTCCCGTTGTAGAGGTAAAGTTTCTGCACCTAAGTGGGAATAAATAACTTGATCGAGGTCACACAGAACATGCATTGCAGGCCCAACATTCTCTCCAAGAACTCTGACTCAAGATCCCATTTTCTGAATGACAGCTATGAACTGTGCTTGGGAAGAGCTGTATATCAGAAACAATTTTCATAAATGGAATAAATTAACAATAACAATAACATTACAATAGTTATTTGTTATTATTTTTGAATCCTCACAAAGTAGGTGATAGCAGACACTGTTTATGAGTAAAAAATTAAGGCACTTGAGAGCTGGCTGTCATGTCACATCTGCAGGAAGCATCCACTCATGGATAAAAGTTGTTTGGGAATCCACTTCCTAGGAAGGATAGTAGAGTTGTTTAAATGAAGGAAGTATGGAGATTATCAAAGGACAGACATAAAATGTCTCCAGTTGTTTTGGAAGGATCATACCATAGACAAAATTGGCTTCATCAATAGCTTTAAGTACAATTACAACTAGTGAGATAAAATGGAATTTCGGATATATTTAAAAAAGGTAAATAGTTAACTTAAAAATGAAAACAGGCTATCATTTGATTGAGTGAATCACTGGAACGTGGAATAATAGAGGATGAAGGATGTCCATGTGCAGGTGGTGTCCTAGACGGATGGCTGCCAAGGTGCCCGCGGGCTGTTCACGGAATGTTGTCTTTCCCTCCTTTCCCAGCCGGCATCCCACCCGCATGGAAG